TAATAATTGAGAAGTCATGAACTAGGGAGGGAAAAGAAGGAATGTTGGAGTAAGTAGTTGAGAAAGAAAAAGTAGGAGTGGTATAGAGTACTTGTGTATGAAGTACTCAAAAATGAAATTAATAAATACTGAAAATAAAAGATATAATCTTCACATCAGAAACATAGCATTTAAACATTCTCTTTTAGTTTTCTTTATTTTTATTTGATGTGTATAATTGTTTGCTTGCATATATGTACTGCACGCACGCCCAGTGTCTGCGGGGGTCAGAACACTAGAGTTATAAAAAGCAATGATCTGCCATGCATGTTCTAGAAAAAAAAACACATGTTTTCTTCAGTCCCATAAATACATATTTAAACAAAAATAGATTCATATAAACAGATAAACAAATTAAGCCAAATGCTTAATAAATATTAAATAAATAAAATAATTAAGGAAATATGTACAGTTGATCTTTTCTATACTCACAGTATTATAAATACTTATGTTCTATAAAGTTGTTGAAAATATATGAATTAACTAATATGGATTCATTGTTCCTTGGCAAACACAATATTGAGTTATTGAGAGATTCTAATCACGAAATGTTTTATCAACAAATCATTGCATAACCTCGTTTTAAGTGTATTTATATTTTGGGATACTTTGATTTATATTGTCAATTCATTAGTACCAAACTCCCAGCCAACAGCACTATGACTCATGCTTGAGTGGGATTTATCGACACACATTCTCTTAGTAAGGCACATCACAGCTTGTAATGCACTTGTTAGGTGTTGAGTAAGTGTCTATAAATAATCTAAAAACATGAACAGAATTGATTCAGAGCTTCTATAATTTTTACTGAGTAGGAATATTAGCAAGTAAAACAAGAATCAACTGTGTAAATATATCAGTGCTGGTTTTATTTGAATTGGTGTAAAACTCTGTATCAAAGCAGATGCTGAGACAGCCAAACTTTGGGCAGAGTGCAGGGACTCTTATGAAAGAAGAAGAAGATGAAAAACCCGAAGGGGACAGGAGTTTTATAAGGATAGCCACAGAACCAAAAAAAAACTGGGCACAGGGGTCTTTTTGAGACTGAAAGATACTTCAACCAAGAACCATGCATGGAGATAAGCTAGAACCCCTGCTCAGATGTAGCCTATGGCTGCTCAGTTTCCAAGTGGGTACCCTAGTAAGGGAACAGGGGCTGTTTCTGACATGAACTCAGTGGCTGGCTCTTTGATTACCTCCCCCTGATAGGGGAGCAGCCTTACCAAGAGGAAGACAATGCAGCTAGTCCTGATGAGACCTAATAGGCTAGGGTCAGATGGAAGGGGAGGAGGATCTCCTCTATGAGTGCACTGGGGCAGGGGGATGGGAGGAGAAGAAGGAGGAAGGGTGGGATTAGTAGGGGGCAAGGAATGGAGTTACAGCTGGGATACAAAGTGAATAAATTGTAATAAAAAATTAAAACATTGAAAAAAACCCAAAAAATAATAAAAACCTCAAAAGAAGAAAAAAGGTCACTTAATGGCCTAGGCTTGGTTCCTTCTCCTAGAAGATTTAGGGTTCATGAGGGTATCAAAGTCTTTGCCCTTTCTGAATTTCTTAGAACTTGAGATGTCTGGTCTAACTTGAGCCAGAAAGCACATGAAGACCTCCATAGCCTTAATTTCACTTACCTGTTTATTCTTATTGCCTTTGAAACTCATGTGCCTTTCCTAAAGAAAGGGTGTGCCAATTTCCAACCAGAGAACACCATGCACTCTCATGCCAATATCTATCCTTTATATAATCAAATATTACTGAGAGACCCATTGGTGTTGAAGATACAGTGACCCATAGCACAAGCAATGTCTCTGCTCTTTGTGAACGTATTTTATTGAGAAATATAAAGCAATCCTATAGTTAAACCGATCCTTAGCTTAAATTCAAGTAGTCATAATTGCAATAAAAAAGTACAATAGTTTAGAGATTAACTGTGGGTAAGAAAATGATTTAAAGTAAGCTGTCAAGCACATATCTTTTGAAGAATTAAATGAACAGAAATCTAAATAAAGAGAAAGAGGAACAAAAGGAATGTCTAAAGACCTAGATTCAGAGGAACATTGGAAGAAAAGCTGTCATATGGGAAGAAACTCTTTTTTGAGGTGAGGAAGATAGAAAGACTGAGAGTGAAGGAGTGAGAAGGGGAGTGGGTTGAGTCATAGCAACTGAATCTGGATTTTATTTTAGACTCAAAGCCTTTGGGTGATTGTCAGTGATGTTACAACCTTACAGTGTACAGAATAAGGTCTGTAGATCAAGAGCTGATGCCCACAGTTCTTTCTCACCATGAGCTTCAAGCAAAAAGGCAAAGGGTGAGCAGAAGAGCGGTTGGATTGTTGACATAAACTACTATGTATTGTTGTTTAAATGAATGAGTAGATTTGATGCTAGCCTTTGGATGAGTGTTGATATCAAGTGCTGAAAAAAATAAGAGAGGAGGGGTTTAGTAAGTCATCAAGATTCAGGTTCAATCACTTAACTTAAGGAGCTCAGCACACATTTAGATGTGTCCAACACATAAATGGAGGTAGAAACAATAAAAATAAGGCAAAATGAAGAAAGCATAGAAAATTAAAGATAGTAATAAAATTATGTTGGCCAAACTCAAACTCAAAAGTACAGTAGTCACTGAATCATTCTTCAAATCAATAAAAAGTAAATAGCTTGTTTAATATAGTGGTGAGTGCCTGAGATGATATTTATCTTTATACCGTCTTACTTTTGAAAAATTTCTACTACTAAATTGATCATCAACCATTGAATTGATATAAGTAAACTTCAGAAGAGCCCAGCCACCATCCACAAATTTTCAGTTTTTAGAAATAATTTCCGCAATAAGAGAATTTTGTAACTTATTGAATTATGTGTTTATTGGTGGTTCATCTTTTGATGCTCAATATATCAGAAAACGGCAATGGGAATCGTATATATATAATTATTTAAGGTTGTCTAAAAATTTTAGGTGTGTAGTTCTGAGTTAATGATGTGCAGCATGCGTTGCACCATGTATGTGCATTGCATTTGGAGGCAAAAATGGAGCATCAGAGAACCCAGAACCATAGCGACTGGCAGCAGTAAGCCATCTGAAAAGGGCGAGGCGGATTTGGGTCCTCTGCAATATCATCAATTGTTCTTAACCATCAAGCCATCTCTCCAGACAAGTGTATACACAGCTTAATCAGATAGCTTAGTGCATTGTTCATTGTAAGCTAGTGTATTTAAATGATGTTTATTATTATAATTAAAATAACCAAAATCAAATGTGAATCAATTTCAAATCCAAGATTTCCCAACTGTAAAGCTGTCAGACCCATAAAGCACAACATTTCAGTCAAGGGTGAAGGAAGAGTGTGAGGGAATTAAAGTAGCAAATGCAAGAGAGAAACACAAGCATCAAAGACACATTGCAGAAGCCTGAAGGTGAGATGGAAGAGTCTCTAACTGCATAGATGTCTTCTAGGTATTCCTTTTGCTGTTGCTATGGTGACAAAGACATAACTGCAGTCTCTGCTCTCAGAGCTGAGCACATCTCACCAGTGATTGCATGAAAGACTCTGCTGCCTTTTGGTGGATCGAACACTGAGTCAGGCTTATTCTGGTCATTAGAGAAAGATTCCTCAACCGTGACATCTGGATTCCCAACTCTTACTTGGACTTACCACACACATTCATCCCATTAATCTTTCCCACATCACCTTGAGCTCACACTTTCTTGATTCTTTGACTGACTGAAGCATTCTGTGGAGTTCTTAAAATGATTCTGTCCTATATTCACTTCTAATTGATTCTTCTCTTAGTTCTTATTATATAAGGAAGGAAGGAAGGAAGGAAGGAAGGAAGGAAGGAAGGAAGGAAGGAAGGAAGGAAAGAAGGAAAGAAGGAAGGAAGGAAGAAAAAAAGGAAGAGTGTATTAACCTTCTTGATTAGTAGTTTCAGAGTCAGAATTTGGTCCAGAAATTTGATTGGCCTTGGTATATTCAAATTCTTTACTGGGGAGGGTGCTACAGCTGGGATACAAATTGAATTAATTATAATAAATAAATAATAAAATAAACACTGTAAAAATGTTTTAAAAAATTAAAAAAAACCTCAAAAGAAAAAAACAAATCCTTAGTTAATGACCCAGGCCTGGTTCCTTCTCCTAGAAGATAATATAATAATTCTTCTGATCTCATGGTGTAGTTTTAGCATGCACACACGTGTGTGTGTGCGTGCACGCGTGTCAGAAGTTGTACAAATGTCTTTTCCAGCATTTTCCCACTTTATTTACTGAGGCAGAATCTCTTGTTGAGTCAGAGCTTAGGGATTCTGGATAGTCTGGTGAGCTGATTTTCCCAACACTCCCTCCAGGAGCGCTGGCATCCCAGGTGCCTCCACACCTTCCTAGCTTTTAAGTGAGTTCTGGGGCTCAGACTCTGCTCCTCAGGCATGTCTGACCCAATGAGCTATCTTCCCAGAGCCATCACAAATAGTTTTTGATGAAGTTAAAAAGCTCCTAAAAATGTTTGGAATACTACGTTTGATATAAATAACTTTTGTAATTACATACAAGCAAAAAAAAAAAAAAAAAGACTTTTCTCCCGTGTAACATAAAAAGAAACCTCTAGAGGGAAAATAAAGGTTCTATGATTTAATGGACCCTCTAAGAAGTCTTATGACACAGGCCCGTGCATTTGCTTAAAAAAAAAAAATGGCTTCAAAAGGTATTGTCAACACTTCAAACATTCTAATTCAAATAGCACAGTTAATGTAAACTCACTTTAATCTTCTTGCAGATGTCTGTAACAAGCGAAAGGAAAAAAAAAACTTTCCCTCTTGATGTTACATTTTATAGGCTACCCTCTGCTTCGTCGTTGATTAAAAGGCTGATTCTCTACATCTATGTTGACTTAATGAGGAAGCCCTTAAATACTGATGTCATTTATAGAGAATATGCCCCATGAAGTTTCTCTGAAAGGCTTTACCTCAAAGGCCTGAAAGGTCAGTCCAACATGGTAGCCCTCAGACACCATTATTTTCCACACACACTCTTTCATTGGTCGGTAGTCATCTGGATAATTGGGAGACTGGATCTGTCCTTCGTTTTTCCGTATCTCACCTCCACAAATTGCTGAAGAAGGCAAAACAAACAAGTAAATGAGTCCTGACATGCCATTTCACTTTACTTTTCTTCAAAGGAATTAGTCAAGATCAGTTGCTATGAGATTGCAAAGAGCCATGTCATAAAGAAAATCAAAGCTGGACAGTTGTGGGGCTGTAAAGATTATGGGATAAAAACAGTCACTTAAGTGTATACGTTAGAGAATGACTAGCCAAGGAGTATATATATTTTAATTGCTGTGATGCCTTAACCAAAACTAAAATCTTTTTTGCTTTTGCTTAAAAGATCATTGTAAATGTGTTCCCTGAATTTGCTGTGTGATTCTCTGAGATGCTTCCTTGGGTTTTTGAATACAGGTAAAACAGCTCATTCGAAAGGAAGCTTCACTCTGGACAGAACCCCTGAGGCTTCTGATGCCAGCACCCATGGTTCTGTTCAGTGATCTTCTCCCCAGGAAGGAGGGCAATCTTTAAAACAAAATGCTTAGAGCCTTAAATTTTTAAGGGAAGTAGGAATCTCCTGTTTTGGAAACTACTTGCTCTCCTGCACTGGGGAGGGGTTTATCTACCCAACTTGCCCAGAAAGGCTAATTTATAGCCAGGAAGCTTGATGGCCAGCCATTGTCTTCAAGAAATATAAAACAAAGCATGTAATAACTTCTTCCTTGCATGCTGACTCTCCAATTTAGACAAAGCATACTTCAAAACTGTACACAATCACCCTATGTTAAGTTTCCTAGAATGGACTGTTTCACCACTACAGGGGTCAAACAGATTCTTTTTTTAAGAAAATTCAGTACAAAGAAAATTACTAATTTTTCTTAAATTTTCATAGCATTATGAAACAAACAGAAATGCTGTCTGTTTATCTCCCTGTTTCATTACTGTATTATGCAAGAAAACCTGCTGTTCTTCTTGTTAAAATTTACCAAGTATGTATGTATATATATGTATGTATGTATGTATGTATGTATGTATGTATGTATGTATTACAATTTATTCACTTTGTATCCTGGGTGTTGCCCCCTCTCTTGTCTCCTCCCAGTCCCATCTCTCTCCCTCTTCTCCCCCACGTCCCTTCCCTAGTCCACTGATAAGGGAGAATCTCTTCCCCTTTTACCCTACCCTAGCTTATCAGGTCTTATCAAGGCTGGCTGCATCATCTTCCTCTGTGGCCAGGCAAAGCCACACTCCCATCCCCACCCAGGGGGAGGTGATCAAAGAGCCAGACACTAAGTTCATGTCAGAGACAGCCCCTGTACCCCTTACTAAGGCACCCACTTGAAACTGAGAATCCTATGAGCTTCCTCTGAGTACAGGGTCTAGATCCTCCTCATGCATGATCCTTGGTTGGAGTATCTGTCCCTATGAGCCCGACTGGGCACAGTTTTTTTTGGCTCTGTTTTTCTCCTTGTGGAGTTCCTGATCTCTCCAGGTCTTCTATCTCCCTCATCTTCGATAAGTATTCCGGCACTCTGCCCAAAGTTTGGTTATGAGTCTCAGTATATCCTCTGATACCCTGTTGGGTAGAGTCTTTCAAGGGTCCTCCGTGAAAGGCTCCTGTCCTGTTCCTTGTCTTTTCCTACTTCCAATTGTCTGTCCTATTTGACCTTCTAAGTGAGGTTTAAGCCTCTTTCCGGGAGTCTTTCTTGTTGTTTTGCTTCTTTAGGACTATAGATTTTAGTATGTTTACCCTATATTATATGGCTAATATCCACTCATAAGTTACTATATACCATATGTGTCTTTCTGCTTCTGGGTTGCCTCACTCAATATGAGCTTTCCTAGTTCCCACCATTTACCTGCAAATTTCATAATTTCCTTCTATGGAACACCAAAGAGACTAGACCATAAAAGAAACTCCTCCCACCACATAATCAAATCACTAAATCTACAGAAAAAAAGAAAAATATTAAAAGTGGCAAGGAAAAAGGCCAAGAAACACATAAAGGCAGAACTATCAGAATCACACCAGACTCCTCAACAGAGACTATGAAAGCCGGAAGGGCCTGGGCAGATGTCATGCAGACACTGAGAGATCACAGATGCCAACCTAGACTACTCTATAGAGCAAAACTTTCAATCAACATAGATGGAGAAAACAAAATAGTCCATGACATAACTAAATTGAAATAATATATATTCAGCAATTCAGCCCTACCAAAGATACTATAAGGAGAACTCCAATGAAATCAACTACACCCAAGAAAACACAGGATAAAGACACCATCACAAAAAAAAATCAAAAGAAAACAAATACACAAATACACAATCACCATCAACTCCACAATAAAAAGAACTAACAATCATTGGTCACTAATATCTATTAACTTCAAAGCTATCAACTCTCCACTAAAAAGATACATACTAACAGATTAGTGGGAGAAACAGGATCCAACATTTTGCTGCATTCAAGAAACACACCTCTGCAACAAAGAGACACTACCTCAGAGTAAATGGCTAGAAAAAGGTTTTCAAAGCAAACAGACCAAAGAAGCAAGCAGGATTAACCATCCTAATATCTAATGAAATAGGCTTTTGAATTAAGGGAGGGGACTTCAATTGGGATATATAATGAATAAATTGTTGAGAAAAAGATAAAAATTAAAAAAAATTAAAATAAACTTTCAACCAAAATTATTTAAAAGACATGGAAAGGGACACCTCATTCTCATCAAAGAAAAAATCCACCAGGAGGAAATCACAATCCTGAACATAGATGCACCAAACAAAAGGGCTCCTGCATTTGTTAAAGAAACATTATTAAATCTTTTTTAAATAAACTTTTTATTTAAATTTTATTTTTATAGTAATGACAGCTTATTTACTTTGTATTGCAGCTGTAGCCCCTTCCCTCATTCCCTCCCAATCCCACCCTTTCTTCCTCATCTCTTCCCTGCCTCTCTCTAAGTCCACTAATATGGGAGGTCCTCCTCCCCTTCCATTTGATCCTTGCTTATCATGTCTCATCAGGACTGGCTGCAATGTCCTCCTCTGTGGTCAAGCAAGGATGCTCCTCCCTCAGGGTGGTGGGAAGGAGGTCAAAGAGCCAGATACTGAGTTCATGTCAGAGTCAGTCCCTGTTCCCCTTACTAGGATGCCCACTTGGATACTGAGCTGCTATAGGCTATATCTGAGCAGGGGTTCTAGGTTATCTCCATGTATGGTCCTTAGTTGGAGAATCAGTCTCAGAAAAAACCTCTGTGCCCAGATATATTTGGTCCTTGTGGAGCTCCTGTCCTCTCCAGATCTTTCCAACTTCCCTTACTTTCAAATGATTCCCTGCACTCTGCCCAAGGTTTGGTTATGAGTCTCGGCATCTGCTTTGATATACTGCTAGGTAGAGTCTTTCAGAGGCCCTCTAAGGTAGGCTCCTGTCCTGTTTCTTGTTTTCTCCTACTTCCAATGTCCATCCCATTTGTCTTTCTAAGTGAGGATTGATCATCTTACCTCAGGTCCTCTTTCTTGTTTAGCTTCTTTAGGTGTTTACCCTATATTATATGGCTAATATCCACTTACCAATTAGTATATACCATGTGTGTCTTTCTCCTTCTGGAATATCTCACTCAAGATGATCTTTTCTAGATCTCACCATTTGCCTGCAAATTTCATGATTTCCTCGTTTTTAATTGCTGAGTAGTATTCATTTTGTATTCTGCTGTAGACCCACCCTCGTCCCCTCCAAATCCCACCCTCCCTCTCTCCCTCTTTCATCTCCTCCCATGCCCCTTCCCCAGTACACTGATGGTGGAGGAGCTCTTCCCTTCCACCTGACCCCAGCCTATCAGGTTTCATCAGGAATATCTTTCATAGTCTTCCTCTGAGGCCTGGTAAGGCTGCTGTTAAACCTTAAATCACACATTGATCCCAACATCTTAATAGTGGAAAACTTCAACACCCTACTCTTTCCAAGGGAAAGATCACCAAAACAGAATCTAAAGAGAGAAATAATGACACTTACAGAGGTCGTAAATCAAAGGACCTAATAGATGTCTAAAGAAATTTTCACCCAAACACAAAAGATTATACCATCATCTCAGTACCTCATGGAACCTTCTCCAAAATTGATGATATAGTCAGGCACAAAGCAAGTCTCAACAGATACAAGAAAATTTAAATAATTCATTGTATCATATCAGAACACCACGGTCTAATACTAGACCTCAACAACAGAAATAACAAAAACTTACATACACATGGAAACTAAACAAATCTCTACTCAATGACATCTAGATCAGGAAAGAAAAAAAAAAGAAATTAGAGATTTCTTAAAATTCAATGAAAATGAAGGCACAACTTACCCTACCTTATGGGACACAATGTTAAGAGGAAAGTTCATAGCATTAAGTGCCTTCTTAAAGAAGTCTGAGACATCTCATACAAGCAACTTAATGGCACACCTGAAAGCAATAGGAAGAGGAAGAAGAAGAAGAAGAAGAAGAAGAAGAAGAAGAAGAAGAAGAAGAAGAAGAAGAAGAAGAAGAAGAATACACACCCCAGAGGAGTAGATGGCTCGAAATAATCAAATTCAGGGCTGAAATAAATAAATTAGAAACAAAGAGAACAATTCAAAGAATCAATGAAACAGAGATCTGGGTTCTTTGGGAAAATCAACAAGATAGACAAACCCTTAGCCAAATTAACTAAAAGGCAGAGGGATAGTTTCCAAATCAACAGAATCAAAAATGAAAAAGGAAACATAACAACAGACACTGAGGAAATCCCAAGAATCGTTAGGTCCTACTTCAAAAGCCTATAGGTAACAAAATTTGAAAATGTAAATGAAATGGATAATTTTCTTGATAGATTCCATTTACCAAAGCTGAATCAAGATCAGGTAAATAGATTAAATAGGCCTATATCCCCTAAGGAAATAGAAGCTGTCATCAAAAACCTCCCATCCAAAAATAGCCCAGGGCCAGATTGATTCAGCGCAGAATTCTACCAGACCTTCAAAGAAGAGCTAACACCAATCAACACTCCTCAAACTATTCCATAAAATAGAAATAGAAGGAATATTACCTCCTCATTCTATGAGACCACAGTCACCTTGATACCTAAAACACACAAAGACCCAACAAAGAAAGAGAACTTCAGACCAATCTTGCTTCTGAACATTGACGCAAAAATACTCAACAAAATATTCGCAAATTGAATCCAAGAACACATTAAATATATCATCCAACATGTCCAAGTAAGCTTCATCCTAGGCATGCAGGGGTCGTTCAGCATACAAAAATCCATCAATGTAATCTGCCATATAAATAAACCAAAAGGAAAAAAAACCAAAAACAAACAAACAAACAAACAAACAAAAAACCAAAACACATAATCATCTCCTTAGATGCCAAAAAAGCATTTGACAAAATCCAACACCCATTCATGTTTAAAGTTTGGGAGAGATAAGGGATACAAGACACATACTTAAACATAGTAAAAGCAATATACAGCAAGCCTATAGCCAACATCAAACTAAATGGAGAGAAAATTAAATCAATTTTACCAAGTATTTTTAATAAAATCATCCTGTGTATGTTAACATGTTGGTTCAGAAAATTACATAATTGCAAAGAAGGCTTTCTGTATTGTTTTAATGACTCCAAAAGGAAAGCGCATTTCTGCTGAGAGATTGTGGGTGAAATGTTCTTAAATTTAATGTGACTTGCCTTCATAGATAGCTGCAAACCCTTTTCCTACCCAGTTACTGCTGCTACGAAACTCGATCCACATTCTGCTGTCTGTAGATGTAAGAACTCCAGCCACTTTGTCCCCACAGAATCTACCTAAAAGAAATAAAAAAATAATAAAGAGAGGCTCCTAGATCTGAATATGTACTATGTTCTACTTGTGCCCCACACTAGTCATAAATTACATATAACTATATTACATATATGCATATATACAAAAGCATGTGGCTCATCTCTAGTGATTAGAGCAGTGGTTCTCCAACTTTAAGTCACAATCCCTTTGGCAAACCTCCTTCTCCAAAATTATTTTCATTGTGATTCATAAAAGTAGAAAAAATTACACTTAGGAGGTAGCAATGAAAATCAAGAGTCACATTATCAGGAAGGTAGAGAACCACTGGATTAGAGCCATAACTTTACCTTAAGTAAAGAAATAAAGCAATCTCTTCAAACTCACTCCAAAAAATCTTCAATCAACTTGCACCAGAATCATTCATTATCATATAAAGAATTAAGAGTTAACCCCTAAAATTCACAATCACTTGATACATGAAGATGGTGCGTTGACCCCGTGTGAGAAGCAGAAAAGTTCTCAAGCCATCCTGAAGAACTGGACCATTTACCAATCTGTTCACCCTTAGATGGGTACAATTGGCTCCGAACACAGAAAGGATTTCTCCCCTCACCAAGGTAAGGATAACATGTCAGGACAAAAGCGTAAGATGCCACGGATGTCGTACATTAACACATACTCTAGCTCAGATAAAGCTATAATTGTCTGTGGTATTATAGGCAGAATCTCAGTATCAATTTAATTATGAATGCGATCACATTCTACACACACACACACACACACACACACACACACACACTCACGCACAAGTTATTGGGAGAAAATGAGTAAAATAGCAGGATGAGGCCTTCCTTTCTACTTCAACCTTGCACAGGTTCATTGCTCACTTCATATTACCTGGAACTCGAGCTTCCAAATGAAATAACTCTTGAAACAAACACACACACACTAAATACATATACAATAACTCTAAAATCATACTATATTGCTATCTGTTCTTACAACTGTTTTTGTTTTAAATTAGCACACAGCTCCTAAATATCAGTGTGGCCGTTTTGAATGCAGTGTGTTTAATAGGTGTTCCTTCCGCTTCATCTCACCCATCCTTCCCCACTACCCTGATCTCCCTGGATAACCACCCTCCTTTCAGTCTTTTTTCTCTCTCTTAATCTCTGTGTCCTTTAGTCCAGACCCTGTCCTCCATTACCTAATTTTACTTCTAACGGTCTTTTTTCTAGTTTATTAAGCTTTAATCACATTTATAGCCACAGTGTTGGAAAGAGAAGAAACACTCAGTATTTACCATGCATGTTTTTGTACTGCGGAAAATAATTACACACAGAAATTTAGTGTAAAAAAAGACAAAGTAGCTAATTTGAATAAAGAAAAGCCAGAGAAAGGGCCAATCGGTAAAGAATTATCTTCTGAAACTGCACATTAAATTAAAGAGTGGTGGCAAATGACAGAGCTGCATTCACTGTCACATACATGTAAACTATCAACAGATTTGTTCATATGCATCCTCTATCTTAGAGGGTGTGAAGTGGCAACAATTTCTACAATTCCAACTCCTTCCCTGATGAGTCTGATGCTGTCAATCTGAGGTATGCCATTCAGAGCCCAGTCTTTCACATTAGGAAGAGATTTCCCACATTTTCTACATTGCACTGAGTCGGTCTGGTAGACCGCTCTGCACTGAAGCAGAGAAGCAGATGGTTCTTTCCAGAGTGTGGATTCAGGTTGTATTCTCCAATTCACAGCTTCTGAAGTATTTTCCTGGGATTCCAATTTTACATGCAATACATTATTTCATCATGCAATACATCTATTTCAGCTAAGGAAATAGATGTAGAAAACTGTGTTTTTGTTTTTTTTCAACTTGAAGTATCACATCAGTTAGACTCTTTTTTTTTTTTTTTTTTTGTTCTTGTTTTGAAATATTTCCAGAGATGGCATGAACTTACTAAGGCAATATCAAGTAAAACAATGTCCATTCAGCATGTTTTAGATGTTAAGAGAAAAGACCAATATTGGACAAAACATCAACTGAGCAAACTATGACTAAAAGTGAAGGGAAGCCCACAGTTTTAAAGAGAAAGGAGGTGAGTGCTGAGGAGCTAGTGGCCTGTGGTCTGGCTCACAGCACCTCTCACCACAGTGCAGCCAAGCTTCTGTGAAGGCTGTGGCTCAAAACTGGGAACAGACATTCATAAGCACCAATCTAAGCTGCAGTTACTGTCACAAAATACAGGTACCTGCCTCTTCTAGGCCCCTGAAAGATTCTGCAAGAAAGAAAACTGATATGTCTGTTATAAGAACAGCTTTGCTTGTCATAGAAAGGCATCTAATGAGCCATTGATGTACCCAATGACTTACTCTGCTACCTTAGGAAAGAGAGTACATACACACACACACACACACACACCATATACACATGCAATCTATCAAAACCATTATCCTTAAATTTCAAATGCAGAAATAAATGTTGTGTGGAATCAATAAGCATAATCCTTGGGAAACTATGCTCAATCACTGTGTTCAGATCAAATAATCAATCCCATATTTAAGTTACTTTAAATCAGTGAATCAATCTATTCATCTGTTTGTCCTGGAGCAGTTTTTGGTATGGTTGAAAAAAAAACCCATATAATTAAAATATAAACAACTTCAGTCATATAGATAGAAACTTTCAGATAACTCATGAAAACACCATCTGCCTCTTACCCTGGATAGAATACATACACAGTCACAAAGGAGATGATTCATATCTTACCAAGGAGAGGGGACTTCCTCCAGTAGCCATCTCTTACTTCAATGTAGTCATACCAGCACAAACTACTCTTGTATAGATCCATCGTGGTAAAATTTAACACAATCTGCAAAACACAGAGAGTAGAAGCACAGTGCTTTGATCCAGGAAGGAATGCAAAACAACGAAAATACACTCCTTTCCTTCTTTTTTTAATATTCATGGAGCCCTGGCCATTTAATTAAAAACATTTTCTTATTCTCATTAGTATAGTTTGCATGTGTGAGTGTGTGCAACCACATGTATGAGAACATATAAGTGTTGGGGTGTTGCCTGTTTGCAGAAGACAAAGAACAGCTTCAAGTGTCCATACTCTGACATCTTCCAGGTTTTGTTGGAGACAGCATTTCTGATTGGCCTGGAACTTTGCTAAGTAACCTAGCCTGGAGAGAGCTTGTAGGGAAGGAGGGAGACCTCTGCCTCTAGAACCTCTGCTGGGACTGCAAGTGTGATCCCTTTGTCTGATATTTTATTCAACTTTGTAATCAACTTTGAGATCGGAACGCAAGCCAGCACTTTACCAAACAAGCCATCCCCGAGGTGCATGCCTATTAACAGTTAATAGTAGTTAATCACTGGGAAAGGTAAACATTTTAGCAATTTACTTGAAATTCATAGTGTTAATTTCAGCAGTCCTAAAACAAGGAGAAACATTTATTCAAAAAGTTCAGTTTGAATTTTCTAAGATAAAAGATTTCAACCATGAATAATTTCCAATTTTTTCACAAATGAATTCTTTTTAATAATTTATTTCAAAGACAACCATCAAGACAACTATAATTATGTTAAAAATAAACACCATGTGCTATATTCCCAGAACATAATAATTTTGTGTGTGCTGAAATGTTTAAATACAGCCCTAACATTCAGATTTATCCCTCTGAGTGTAATTAAAGGCAGATGGTGCAGCAGCTCCTGAGATTCAAGAACATACATGGGGAATCTTCAGAGTTAGACGACCTTGTACATGACCCCCTTTCTCTCCTCTTTGTTTGGATAGATGCTGCTTTTTATAAAGATAATTCAAGAACAATCTTTGGAAAGATAATTTTTCTCATGACTTCATAAAAGTTTTTACTTTCAAACCCTTCTTTACTTTTACTTGATTATATAAAAAATAGAATGGATTTAACACGAGGCATTTACTTCAATGATGTCAAATTTATTTGGAAACAATTTGGTATATGCAAAAGCTCATTTCAACCCTCTTGTACTTTAAATATACCTAATAGATTTAAGACTCATAGTGATCATTTTTCTTTAGAAACTGAGATGGATGTTAGCCAAAAACAACAAATTGCGAATATTTGAAATGCCTTCCTATAACACTATAGTTTGTAACAATGTTCAAAGAGCCTTTTAGTGGCAGTGGAAAAGCTGGATACAAAAAGTTGAGAAAGAGAAAGGAGAAGGAGGAAGAGAGAGAGAGCACTAACCTTCCCACATCCATATTCCAGAGAAGCCTTCCAACTCTGATAATAACACCATTATTAATATTATTTTAGATGTCTCTCCTATTCTGATGGACACAAAAGGAAAAGGTGGGGTGGATTTGGGTGGGTGGGGAAGTGGATAGGGTCTACAAGAGGAGGGGAAACTGTACAGAGTATACTGTATAACAAATCTATCTTCCATAAAAATAAATAAACATGGAAAATGAACAATAGCACTAGTCATCCAAGAAATGTAAATTAAAGCCACAGTGGTTTACTACTTCACACCTATTAAAATAACTATTTGGAAAATACAATAAGAAAAGAAAGAACAGGTATGAATGTAGCAAAACGAATTCTTGTGTACTGATAGGAATGCAAATTGGTACACCCATTATGGAAAGTAATGGTGCTTCCTTAAGAAACTGATATTTAAACACCATTGTATCTAAAAATCCTACTTCTGTATACACAAAGGTAATAAAAACTGATATCTTATGGGAGAAAAAAAAGGAAGAAGATCACCGAGCTAGTGGATCACACATTAAATAAAGGACTTGCAGCAAAAACATGAGGACTAGTTTGGCTCCCAGTACTAATTTAAATACTAAGAAGGCATGGCAGCCTACTTGTCATCTTAGGGATTCCGGGGATGAAAGGACCAGGAACATTTGATCCAAGCTTGTTAGCTAGATTAATCAAACAGGTAAGGTCTGCTTTGAAGTGAGAGCCTTTACTTCAATATATAAGATGGAGAACAATTAAGGAAGACACCCAACATTAGCCTCTGCCTTCCACATGCTGTGTACATATATGTATACACATACACATTCCCACATATGTGTGAACACAAGTACACACACTTATGCACATCATAGACATACAAATACAAAAAAAAAAAAAAAGAAGCATTAATTATAGTAAAGCTCATCCTGAGCCCACACGTTCTCATCAGAAATGGCTGCATTGTCATCTTCTGTGGCCTGGTAAGGCTGCTGCCCCCTCAGGGGGAGGTGATCAAAGAGCAGGTCAATCAGATTATGTCAGAAGCAGTCCCTCTTCCCATTACTATGTAACCCACTTGGACACTGAACTGCCATGGGCTACATCTGTGCAGGGGTTCTAGGTTATCTCCATGAATAGTCCTTGGTTGGAGTATGAGTCTCTGGGAAGTTCCCTGTGTTCAAATTTTCTTGTTCTGTTGCTCTACTTGTGGAGTTCCTGTCTTCTCCAGCTCTTGCTATTTCCCACTTCTTACATAAAATTCCATTCACTCTGCCCGACAGTTGGCCATCAGTCTCAATATCTGCTTTGATAGTCTGCAGGGCAGAGGCTTTCAGATGCCCTCTGTGGCAGGTTCCTAGGTTGTTTCCTGTTGTTTCACAATTTTTTCAAAATTTTCCAGTATCCAAGGGCAAAGTCCTGATCACTCTTTTCTTTCTGTCTCAGTCTCCTTTCATATTTGATTACAAGAAGATCTTATTTCTGAATTATTTATAGCAACTTCTCAAAACATTTTCTATAGCAACACAACTTTAGCCTATTCTTCGGATACAGCTAAAAAATAATTTCTGGATTTTTCACCTTAATTCATGTTTCATTTGTGCCTACTAAAGTAGGAGAGGTAACACCTGTGCCCAGTCGTTTTGTTTGTTTTCTACCAGCAGCAGCCTAAGGGACATCAGATCCTCATTATCATGTGAAAACTCCTCTGGCGGAGCAGAATAGCAGAAGCCAAATGAAGCCATAAAGAACATAACTGAGGCTTCTGTGTGGCCTCCCTTAAACTTAAGAGGAAATTTTATAATAGTGTGCAAATAGTTTCAAGTCCTTCCTAGATGAGGAAAAGAAATCAAATAGATTGGAAATACATTTATAATCAACTTTGACCCCAAACTAAAAATAATGTGGCTGGACCGCAAACAGTTAATACATGAAATCTTAGAACACCCTGCTTCCCCCCCTCCCCCTGCCTCCCACAGAGCTGGATGGGATAATTCTGAACAGAAGAGTTCCCTATCTTGTTTTTAATCTTCTAGTTTAAGCTCCAAGCACTGTGGAGGAACAAAACCGGCCTGACACTAATATGAAACACAGAATCCTTCAGAAGTAGAAAATGTAATAAAGATAGGTTTTCTAAAATCAAATCTTAGGGCTGTGACTATGGAAGTAGAATCCGTGCCTTTGAATATTGCTGCTAGGAGAATCCCTAGTTGAAATACAAATTAAAAGCACTTGGTAAACACTGATTTGTTTTGTATTATACTAGTTTATGTAAACATATTGCATCTATCAAAGAATGATAACCGAGTGTTGCATCAGAATAACTGTTTCACTCCTGGTGGTAATAAGCATCAATTTGAAATTAATCACAGCTCCTTCGGAACCCAGAGTAGAGAGAGAAAGCCAGGGGAAGTTCTCAGGTTTCCTGGTCTGTGAGGAGTTGGAGTTGCAAAGCTAAAGTGATACAATTGCAGCTGAGATTGCTCATTAAAGATTCTGTTTGACAGTGCTGCAGAGTGAAGAATCTTGAAGAAAGGCAGATCAGCTGTTCCAGGGTCTGGAAATCTGCAAGTTCTCTGAGCAACAATGAATGAGCATCAGCGGAATGGAGGCAATACGGACAACTTACAGTATCCCACAGCACTGTTCAAAGGCCAATCACAATAGTATTTGCATCTTTGAAAGATAAGTTGAGAGAACATATATACCTGGTCCATTAGATTTATGTTAATAAATGGCTTTTTGGAGAAAGATATTAGCAACAGGATGCAATAGATTATTGGACTCTGTCCATAGGAAACCTAGGGAAATATAATGCACTGTGTTGGCTACAGGGTTTTCCTTAGTAATGAAGTTCAGAAATCACAGATAAAGTGAATAAACTGTATTCTATAGACAAATTCTTTCTGCAACTTATTTTCATAAATAAATAAATAAATAATTGTAAGCATTCTCTACTGTATTGTCTTTTATGTGTGTTTGTGTGTGTTTATGTAAATGTTGCATTGACAATACAGTTTAGGTCAGAAATGAATATATATGGCAAACCTATAAAGGTTAAAGGTAAAGCTATCAATTGCATGTCATTTGTAATAGGAGAAGCTATTAACTCTTAAGGCTATATTCAGATCAAAACCTGATTTATACTAAAAAGGAAAATATTCTATCTTCTTCTGTAATTAGAAGCTATTCTTCATAGTACTTCAGGGGATCTAGGTTCAAAGTCTAGCACTAGCTTCTCAAATTTTTAGTTTACACAAACATTCAGATGTTGAAAAAAGTCTTTTGAATAGGATGTCATCAGATCAAACTTGCATTACCATAATTGCAAGGCTTTAATTGGATGTTGTGAAGGAAAAACAACTAAGAAACCCTAAAGCACTGTGAAATATTCATATGTATATCATTGTCACTGTGAATATGCAAGCATCATTAATAACATAAGCTTTGAAGACAGTCATAGAAAGAAGCTGGACTACCAAAACAACAATACAACAACAATGAAATACTTCTTAATGATATTCTGCTATGCTCATAAATCAGTGCCTTTTTCAGTCATCATCAGAAAGGCTTCCTCCAGCAGCAGATGGGAACAGATGCAGGGACCCACAGCCAGACATGATGCAGAGAC